GGAAATGAGGATATGTTCTCCAAAACACCAAAAGTTTGATGTCTCTAAGTCTCTTCACCAAGGATGTATCTTGTGAAGATGATATGGATGACTTAGGGAAGAAGAGATTGCTAGATGTCCCTTCTCTTAGTGGCCGGCCTCTTGGAAGAAAATGGAGAGAAAATGTTTCACCCAATTTCAACTAGAAAACCCTTAAGTGAAAATAAAGCTATAAAGTTGAATTTATACTTCATTACAAGTGAGTGGCAAACTTGTAATTAATCCAAGTTTGCCCATCCACCCTAATGGCCGGCCTCTTTGATGTTATTGGGCTATTTGCCCATTTTGTTTTAGTTGTCATACAACTTAAACATAATGGGCATTTTGGACCAAAACGCTTTTGGGCCCCGAAACCCAAAACCAACATATAAGCCCAACACGAACCTTTCGTAAAATTAATTAACTAATTAATTAATCTTGACCATTCTTCAATTAAACCATTTAATTGCTTATCCATTTCATTTGATTTCTTCACATACATCCTTACTCGGTGTACGATCCATTAGGTTCCAATTAACGAGGCAGTGGGCGATTGTTACTCTTAACGATCGATTGTGAATTGAAACCACATTTCAATTCTCCCTTTATTGATTAGTGTTTGCTAACCATTAGGGCTTCCACAAACCATGAGTGACGCCTAGCAGCATATCATGGTTACCCAAGCTAAGTAGAATTGGTTGGAGAACCTATCCAGTTACAATTACAATGCAATACGGTCTTTCTCTAATACAATACTCTTAATCACATTGTTTAAGTGATAGTTTGTTTCATGTCTACTATCCAATGTGATACTTTCCTATATGATTCCCTTGAATATGATTTGGAACAAACTTCCTAAGTCATATTCATTTGCTTTGGCCAAAGACTTTAGAATCATATCTTAGAGTATTCTCCTTCCACCATGGAAGGTTAGAGATCCCTTGTTGTGCATTCATATGCCTACATGACTAGATAGCTTGACCCCAACAATGCCGTGGACACTCCGAGGGAATGCCGTTGACATGATTAAAGATCAAGAACCTAACCATTAGACATCTATGATGCCTCAGGTCAAAGGACTATTTTGCATATTGCAACTTTAGAGTTCATACACGACATGTATGTTCGAACTCTCTTTTGATCGTAGTTCAGTGTACTCGATTACTCTTTCGAGCACCTATGTGTTTGTCTTAGTGTCCAACACCAAATGACTTGAGACTAGTCATACTCACGCTTGAGTCAACACAACACATACTAACCTTAGCGGATTGTCAATGCCCAATTGGCAATCCTATGGCTAGGAACGTTTCAGGAATGAACATAAGAGAAAGGTCTCGATAATCTAACTCTCTTAGATCATTTATCTCTTAGAACAAATACATTCCTTGGATTCCCTTATTGCTTAAACACATGATACAATAGATAGTGATTAACAATAAGATTTGCCCTCCATTAAACATATAAAAGTTTAATACAATAAGTATTCCAAAAGGCTATTACATCAAATGAGTGGCTTTGTGGGCATACTTCCAACATGTGTGACATCAAGTCAAGTACGTAGGTGCTCAATAGAGAATGAGTTCACTGAACACGATCAACGAAGAGTTCTCATATTCATGTCACATGAGAACTCATGGTTGGGATAATGCAAAGTAGTCCTTTGACCTGAGGCATCACAGTTGTATTGTGGTTAAGTCCTTGATCTTTGATTATGTCAAAGTCACCCCATCGAGGTGTCCACGGCATCATTGGGGTTAAGCCACTTAGTCATGGAGACAAGTGAATGCGCAACAAGGGATCTCTAACCTTCAAACCGTTTGAGGGAGAATACTATATGATATGATTTAGAACCTCTGGCCAGAGTATGAATGAGATTTAGAAAAGTCGTTCTAAATCACATTCAAGGTAATCATATAAGCATACGAATCACATTGGATAGTAGACATGAATAAATAAACTATCAAACCAAACAATGTGGTCAAGAGTATTGTATTAGAGAAAGACCGTATTGCATTTGTAATCCTAAACTGAATAGGTTCTCCACCTCTTCTGATTAGCTTGGGTAACCATGATATGCTGCTAGGTGTCACTCATGGTTTGTGGAAGCCCTAAACGTGTGTAATCACTAAAGGGAGAATTGAAAGTAAGTTTCAATTCACAATCGATGTAAAATGGTTTTAATCGCCCACTGCCTCGCTAAAAGGAACCTAATGGATCGTACACCGTGTAAGGTGGAGATTGAAGAAACAATGGAGATGAGTAAGAATAATTAAATTGTTTAATTATTTATGGCAAGGATTAATTAATATGTTAATTAATCAAACGAATAAGTTCGTTAAAGACCTCGGGATAGTTTTGGGCCTCAAGGCCCAATGGGCTTCGAACGTCAAGTCCATTGACTTAAGTTGTATGACAACTTAATTCACAAAGGCCCAAAAGCCCAAACAAAACCCCATGGCCGACCATTTAGAGGAAGGGTAGTGAACTTGCTTTAATTACAAGTTTGCCACTCAAATGAATAAAGGTATAAATATGACTTTATAGCCAAAATTCATTAAGGGTTTGTTTTGGAGAAAATTGGAGAGAACATGTCTCTCCATTTCTCTCTAAAGAGGCCGGCCCCTTGGAGGGTGTATCTAGCCATACTAACTACTCCAAGGTCACTCATTTCTTCTCCAATCTAACCTTGGTGAAGATACTTAGAGGTTCTCAATTTTGGGAACTTGGAGAAACCTTTTCATCCATCCAAATCCATAGATTTAAGATGCAAGGAATGAAGGCCCTCTCTTTGGGTGATTAGCCTTTGCTTATGCAAAGAGGAATCTACAAAGGTATGATTTCAACTCACTTTGTTTTGAGTTGAGTTTTGGTTCACCAATCTACTAGGTTTTGAATTTCATGGGTAATGTTTTGTTTTTGAGTGCATGCTAGCATGATTCCGCCTTTAATTGTTAATTGCATGCTATATGATGTTGCTCAAATGAACATGTTTTCACAAAATAATCCTTCAAGTGAGACTTTGTGAGTTCTACTACCTATGTATTCTTCTTTTTGTTTTGAGACTCGCATTCATTCATTGTGTCAACTAGGCAAGACGACTTCATCAACTATTTCTACACAATCACATGAAAACCTGATGCGCCATTTACTTGAGTATTTACACACTCAAGAGGAGTGTTGCAATCCTAATTTCATTAGGAGCTTGATTGTGTAAATCCTAATAAATTATGTTGAGGAATCCTAGGAGATAATTTGATTAGGTGCAAATTTTTTGTTTGTGTTAATTTTTTTTTAAATTAATTTTACATTAATGTTGTCCTAAAGTGTTTTTGTAAACATTTCGACAAAAAAAAAAATTCAAATTTTGCTACCAATTTTTTTTTTTTTTTTCACAAAAAAGTGTAACTAGATTGACTACATTATTAAATAAAATAGATCAGTAATTAAACAAACAAAATTATATGGAATGAGTGACTCTTCATTTGAAAACTTGAAAGCCCCCCACATAAATCTTAACCCTTCATTGAAGCAGTTGAAAAGAAATAGAGAAAAAACCATGTGCGTTGGGACCCAATCGGCACAACACCCGCGCGTTTCGGGCAAAGAGGTGTTCTTGTTGCACAGCAGCGCTTAGTTTGGTGGGTTAGGTTCACCATTTCTGTCCCTATATGGGTACATACGTTAAGTATGTAATGAGTTCTTATATTTTAGAGATTCACTTTGCGATCCATTATAAATTCAATTTGTCCTTATATTTGTATTATACGGTAGCTGTCCTATTTAACAGCTCAACTAGAAATGCGCTAACTTCACCCTTACTACTTGGATTAAACCAGAAATGATCAAATTTAGATCCTCAATTACTTCCCCAAAGAATTTTATTTTTCAATTGGAAGTCCTTAATGTTTTTGCAATCCAACAAATTGCCACCCAACCCAAGTATGCAATGGCTAATGTATCAAAATAAAAATAATTTTTATAAGGTAACAAATTAAAATAAACATAAGTAATGTAACAACAATAAAATAAATAAAAAAAGGAAAATTAGAATCCCTGCACTTTTCTAATACTCTTTAGAATTATGTGATCCTCATTTTTGAATTTTGAATGGTCTTATCCATTTCAATTAGTGGTTGTTTTCACTATTTTATATTGATATCATGTGAGATAATTAGACGTATTTTCTATTTTCGGAGGCTTGAAGCTAGTACGTTCAGATAATATATTTAAACATACCGAATACGTACCAAGAAGATATATAAAGTAACGTACCAAATATGTTTTTTAAATAAATATAAACGTACCAAAATAATATATAAATGTACCAAATACATACAAAAAAGAAATATGAATGTACCAAATACGTACCGAGAAGATATATAAAGTAACGTACCAAATATGTACCAATGAGAAATAGATGTTTAATCGAGAGGAAATATATGTACCAAATATGTTTTTTTAAATAAATATAAACGAACCAAATACATACAAAAAAGAAAACAAACATACCAAATATGTACCAAGAAGATATATTAAGTAACATATCAAATATGTACCAAGAAGAAATCAACGTTTCATGTGTAATTTGAAAGACTTTTTATTAAAATTGAATACTACAATATTTACCTACAAGATCTAAGGAGTTTTGAGATATTATCTAAGAAAATTAAAAGGTATATTAAATATAATGGCAAGTCGCATTTATGTGTATTTTGAAAGACTTTCTATTGAAATTAAATTCTACAATATTTATCAGCAAGATTTTAGGAGTTTTGATGTATTATCTAGGAATTGAAAGGTATATTTATATAATGGCAAGTTGGGTAATTTAAATTATAAAAAAAAAGGCTACTTCTAATTCATATGGTACTAAATTGTAGGAAGATGTTTAATTAAAACTCTAGAAAGCATAAATGTTTAATCTCAAAATTTTAAAACCAAGTTTTCTGTATCAAAACCCCCCCCATAAAAAACAAAGAAAAAAGAAAAAAGAAAAAATTGAGTTATCGTTGCAGCCAAACAGAGGATTAGACGGACATAGCTGAGCCCGAGCATTTCAATTCAGGTAAATTCGATACAACCCTACAAACAGCAGAGTGTTGCAGGAGAGAGAGAGAGAGAGAGCAGAGACGAGAAGAAAATGGGGGGAGGAATGGAAGCAAACAAGAACAAGTTCATAGAAGAGTGGGGATCCGTCAGAGAAAATCTCGAGCACAACTTCCGCTGGACTCGCCGCAACTTCGCCCTCGTTGGCATCTTCGGCATCGCCATCCCTATCTTGGTTTACAAGGGCATTGTCAGAGACTTCGTAACTCCCTCCCTCTCTCTCGCTCAATAATTTATGTTTATTTACTTATTTAATTTTGGAAATTAAACCGGTGGATCCGTTTGGATTTTGCCTAATCGATCGCATTAGGGTTCCCGATCTCTTGGTTTTTTATTCCTCAATAGCTCGCTTTAGCTGTTTTTTGGTTTAATTTTATAATTTTCAGAGATTATTTGACTTCTAAGATATCATTTTTCTCAAATTATGGAATGTTGATACATTTGGGTTTTGACCCAAATTGCGTTTTAGGAAGGAACAGATGCTTTGGGGTCGTAAAATTAGTGCAGAATCATCGTTTGTGAAGTGTTTGAGCTATATTCTTTTGGCATTTTTAGTTGTTTTGGCAAATTCCATAATTTTTCATAAAAATTGGGTTCGGCATAAATAACCCTTTTGTACTGGGAGTTAAATACACACTGAGAAGCCTTTCTTGCGTGGTGAAATCGTAAGAAAATGCGTAGGCTAGATTGGAAAATGGGTTTGAAATGTCCCTCGGGTCACTTATCCATATTGGAGAGCTGCATCACTGTGGGTTTTAGAGCATTTCTTGGGTTGTGCATTCTGTTGGAAAAATGCCAGTAATATTTCCCTGAGACTGTAACAATTAACATAGATAGTCGAAAAGGTGTCTATGGGTGAAATCTTTTGGTAGGAAAGGGGGTTGAAGGGACAATGTAACGTTGCCTGCCAGAAATCTTCTTATTCCTTATTAGTATTTTCTTTTAGTGGGGAAGGGAGAGATGAAATATATAGGTTTTAGCTAACGTTTTTCTTAGTTTTCTATTTGATTCTTGTTTTGCATCACGTTTCTTTTTCTTGTTAGTTCCTGTTGTATATCAGAAGGTATGGTCCTAGTATGTGAAGCAAGTTGTCCTTTCTGCATCAGTGGTGTCATTATTTTTCATTGTTAGAACCTGTTAGTTGGCAATCAGTTGCCAAATTATCGGATATCTTTTTTGTTGTAAAATCATGTCCTTTGTCCAACTTCTTTTCCTCCCCCAGCCTAGTGATTTCTTTTCTTGTTGCATACTTTATCCCACTTTAGAGGTCGCACTTGGTGTGATGGCAAGTGCCTTCGCCCATGAGCGGTAGGTCTCGGGTTCGAGTCTTGGGAGCAGCCTCTCCATAAATGGGGGTAAGGCTAGCCGACATTCACCTCTCCCAGACCCTGCGTAAAGCGGGAGCCTTGTGCACTGGGTACGACCTTTTTATACTTTATCCCACTTTATATTCATTGTTGGACACTTCTGATTTTCCATGTTCACAATAGTCAGTTGTACTTATTGCAGAGATGAACACATGTAAGGATAAAGGCTTCAAAGTAGACAGATTTTTCAAAAACTTCGAATACTGAAAGTTACTAGTAATATTGAAGACTTATTGTTTTGCAAGATAGGATTAGTCTTGAGCATTAATACTCTTACCCTCGTTTCGTTTATACAACTACAAAAACTTTGATTAGGTACTTATCAGTATACTTATCCCTAGTATTTTGTGTGGTTGCTATGGGTGATGATCACTCATTTATATTGCATCTTTGTCTTTTTGGTGGGTTAATCATTTGAGCGAGTGCTCACACTATCACCGCACAAACAATTTTGACATTCCAGTCTTGCTGTCAACTGATTGACCAACATTTTGTGTTCCATGATGACAGCACATGCAAGATGAGGATGCAGGCAGACCATACAGGAAGTTTATATGAGTAATCTGGGAATGTTTGATAATAACTGTGGGACTAGTCATAGAACGTTTACGAGGCCACAAGTATCCCTCTCCTGGTAGATGGAAAGTGTTTCATTTTCGTTGTTGATCTATGGATCATAATGTCATTCAATTTGGTAAACTTGTGCCTTTTGTGATATTTTCTCCAGTTCAGTTTATCTGAATGAATCCTTGGTTCCTCATTTATTTGTTACTTTTACCCTTCATTTATTCGGTTCGTCTGAATAAGAGATGCGATCATGTTTCTTGAGAAACGGAGGCATATGCATTGGATCGTAGCAGTTGTTGTCACATCGAAGTATATACATTTGATGGTGCATACTTAGATGATTGATCATATTATATTCCGTGGTTCAATTCATATTCTGAAAATAAGGCAAATTTTTTTCTGGCTGTAACACCACCAAGCTTCTAGTAGCACGGTTCATGGTGTCGATTAAACAACTTAAAAAGTCCCAATTTGATCAAAACCAACTAGAAACTAAACGCATGAGCTTCTTCAGTTTGCCATCGGAAGAAATGTAGGAGACAACCGTGCCGAACAAAAACAGCACCTACTCCTATTCCTCTTTCCTTTCTGCTCGAACCACGCTCATAACCCCTGAAACAAGACGCTTGAATCCCCATGCATATCGGCGAACGCCAGTCTCGTAGTACTCGTCAAACTCCGGAGAGGGATGGAATTTGCACTGAGGGATGGAATTAGGGCAACGGAACACATTTACATAAGCTAAACAAGTCTTACTTGAGAGAAGTAGAGGAAATTAAGCGCTCAAATGGGACAGTAGTGTGCGTGAATGGCTAGACATTCGACCATTTGTACCTATGATCTACCCTGGCGTCATTTCACAAGCACCTTCTATGACATTGAGCAAAAGAAGTGAGATGAACAAAAGCAGACTACGAAATTAAGACAACGAAACACGCTTACATCAACAAGGGAATTGTGCTCAAACAGGACAGAGAGTCTCTATGAATGGAAAGGCATTCTCCCATTCACACTCAGCTTTCTCATATGGAACTAGACACATGAGCTGCTTCAACGAACCATCCTTCAATCTGTAAGAGAATAACCTACCACAAACAAATAGCACCAGTTCCGATTCCACCTGCCTTTCTGCTTCTGCTTCAACCATTCTCAAAACCGAAACACGAAACCATTCGCTGCCAACCCCATACATATCACAGAATTCAACTCTAAAGGTAGCAAGATTGACACGGTGCCTCAGCCGCCAACCAGAGTAATCCTCCTCCAACTCCAACACATCAAATTCCACATCCGAGGTCGTGTGCATTATCAACTGCAGCTGGCCCCGAGACTCCCCAAAATACTGGATAGTGTTACGGGTTAGGTATCGCGGCATGGGAATCGGGTTCAAGCACTCTTCGTCCACATCGAAACAAAGGGAAGTCTGCTCCTCACTGTACCAGTGAATTGCCCGCCTAAAAAACACAGGGGCACCGAAATGTGTTGCTTCTGGTGGATCAAAATTGATTAGAGACGGCTTCCAAGCGTTGTTCTGGGATTCATAAACACGAAGCGAATATACTTCGTCAGCGCCATTCGAGCTCCTCAGTACACACACTATCTTGAAGTGGGGTGAATGAGTCGGATCAAAAGCCATATTCACACCCTCTATCTCTGCGCAACCAACTTCATCGCTCGGAAGATTAATGGTCTTGAACTGCATGGTGATGGGATTACAAACAAAGATTCTAATCCCACAATCATCCTCACTAACAGAAGTAATAAAATCATGTGGGATACCAAAATCAAACGCTGTGTTCTTGAAATCGGGGTCGTCCGTAAGGTAGGCAGAGGAGCACAAGAGCAACCCATTACAGGATTGAAGGATTTTGATGCGTGGAACACCCAGATAACTCAGATACGGAGGGGGATTCGCATCGAATTTGGGGTGATTCGAGTGAGTGAAAGAGACATATTGGAATTCTGGGGTGGGCAAGTAGTCATTGTTCAAGAGGAGGCCGGAGGGGGCGAGAGTACCTTGGCAGCGGACTTGGGCGGCGATGAATTGGGGGCAGGAGATGAGAGAGAGCCAGTGGGTTGATACGCATTTGAAGCGGACGAGGGATTTTGTGGGCAGTCGGAGGAGGATTTGTGTGAGTATGTCTTGGCTGTTGGCGACGGCTTCTCCGGGCGATGAGATTGCCATCTACGTCCGAATCCCTGCAAAGCAAGAAGTGGAAAATGGCAGTGAGAAGAGAAGAATGAAGTTGCAGGGAAGGATAAAATAGACTTCGACGAGGGTTTAAACCTACGGAGTGAATGTAGCGGGTGGAAATCTACGGACGTATGAGGAGATTTTGGGGTTATGCAATCGGGGTAAAATGCCCACTGAACTATTGACGGTTGAAATTTACCTCCTGAACTATACATATGAGAGGATTTTAGGGTTATGCAATCGGGGTAAAATGCCCACTGAACTATTATTACTAGTTGAAATTCACCTTCTGAACTATTTTTTGATAAATTAATTTTCTGAATTATTTTAAAATAGCTAATTAACCCCTTGCGGTTAGGTTTCATCCACTATTCTGTCAAATTCAAAGACAAATTAATCATTTCATTATCAATTCTTACTTGTCAATGATAACTACCAATAAAATTATGACACATGAACACAAAATAATGTGTAAAACATATAGCATAATAAGTAAATAAAATGTAAAAAAACCAAATGTTTACCCATTTCATATTGTTATTACACATTATTTTGTATCCATATGTCATAAATTTATTGGTTGTTATAGTTGACAAGTAAGAATTAATAATGAAATGACTAATTTGCCCTTGAATTTGACAAAATAGTGGATGGAATCTAACGACAAGGGGTTACTTGGCTAATTCCAAATAGTTACGGGCTTAATTTACCAAAAAAATAGCTTAGGGGGTCAATTTCAACTGGGGTAATAATTCAAGGGGTCAAATAGCAGTTTTGTCACATCCCGGCCGAGGGTCCACCACATCCCGGGCCCGCTCCACCACCGTAGCATGATATTGTCCATTTTGGGCCCCGACCACGCCCTCACGATTTTGTTTCTGGGAACTCACACGAAAACTTCCCAGTAGGTTACCCATCTTGGGATTACTCTCGTACGAACTCGTGTAACTTCGGAGTTCTTACGGAACTTGAAGCTAGTGAGCTCCCAAAAGGCCTCGTGCTAGGTAAAGATAAGAATATACATATAAGGCTTACATGATCCTCACCCCTGGGCGATGTGAAATCTTACAATCCACCCCCCTTAGGGGCCCGACGTCCTCGTCGGCACACTTCCAGCCAGGGATTGGCTTTGATACCATTTGTCACATCCCGACCCAGGTCCACCACATCTCGGGCCCGTTCCATCACCGTAGCACGATATTGTCCGCTTTGGGCTTACCATTCCCTCACGGTTTTGTTTTTAGGAACTCACGAGCAACTTCCCAGTCGGTCACCCATCCTGGAAGTGCTCTGGTCTCCTTCTCACTTAACTTTGGAATTCCTACGGAACCCGAAGCTAGTGAGCTCCCAAAAGGCCTCGTGCTAGGTAGAGATGAGAATATACATATAAGGCTTAAATGATTCTCACCCTTGGGTGATGTGGGATCTTACAAGTTTACCCTTTGCAATCGTAAGGTTTTTTTGGCAACGAAGGAAAGGAATGAAATGAATTAGCAACACCCACTACCCAATCAAGCCAAGTTAAGTTGGATGACTACTCACTTAGTACTATGGTCTAGTGGTATTGCTTTTCACTTGGAACTGAGGGGTTTTAGGTTCGAATCTTGAGAAGGTGAACTCAATACTAAATTAGGTTTCTCATTGTATGGCTTACTCGAACTCCTCATCTCCTTAGTGTAAAAATATATCAGGTGCTAAAAAAAACAAAGTTGAAAGGATCACCCAAATTCAATGATACTTGAATTTTCGATTTTAATGTTTAAGACTAAATATTGGCACACATTATTGCAACATCCGACTGTCATTTAGTTTCAGTTTACCTCCTGAAACCACCATTTCAACTTTTTTTTGTCTCACTTCACTTCATTCTGTTAAAGAAACATTAACTTCAAGGGTATTTTGGCATTTTACGTTTTACACACCTTTTTGTCTTGCTTCCATTCTGCCCTTCAGTTCAATCAATTGATCTTCTTGGCGAAACAAATTAGAGTTCATTAAAGAAGAAAACGTAATTTAGGAAGTTGACGCTTAATCATGGGGACTATAGCAGCTCATCGTAATCATGGAGAAAAGCAACCATTTTATTGTAAGTTAAGGTAGAAATGGTAACTTATTGCCAATGTGGTTTCTATCTGATATGATCAATGAATTTGTAGCCATTGTCTAGAGTATGATGTCTGTGTATGTTAGTTTTTGATGAATTCGTAGTCATTTCCGAAGTATGAGGTGTTAGTTTTACATTGATGGGAATTTTTGTGCTCTATGCTTGTCGTTCACTATGAAAAATAAAGTAGTCACTGCGGTCTGTCATTGTTGTTAGCTATGGTAGTTATTGATTAACAGGTTGGCCCAAAAGGTAAACAAATGTGTTGCTTGGTCTTAACGTTGATATTAATTATTGATGAAAGACAAATATGCAATATTGTGGGGTTGCATTGATGAGTTGAAGACCACAAATTTGGGAACTACAGTGAAGTTAAGTCAGAAATGAGTGGTGATGGACCAAGATTTCAGTGGAAGATTTCAAGGGGTCTACATCTGCTTAGAAAACTGAAATAGTGAAACTGACAGAAGGCTAGAAGAATTGATTGCAGTAGTTGAATAGTTTTCTATATTCATCAACAGCAAAGAGACCAACATATATACAAATACGTTAATCCAATCATGCCGTCTTCTATGGCACAGGAAACCTGGTCCACCTAAAGTGGGATTGGATTTGACCTAGCTAATATAAGAAGGTAAATATCCTACTGTGGATGCAAATTTCTTCCTCCTCGATCTTGGACGATTTTGCACCTACAAAATAATTAACACCTTAGGTTAAGGCCAAGAGCCTCATGCGCCCACGATGAATGGGGGGGCTTTAGCCGAAGAACCTCCGATGCCAAAGTTAGAATTTAGAGAGAAAGAGTGTTTAGAGAATTTTGGGATTTTTGCCAAAGTGTTGGAATTGATTCTTTGATGAGAATAGGTGCCTATTTATAGAGTTAGGAGGTGGCTAGGGTTTTTAGGTTTAATTTCGGTTTAATTAGCCAATTTATTTGGCTATTTAAACATAAAATGAATGTTTTGGTGGTTTTTGGAATTAATTGGCTAGTTAATTAGGGTAATTAAAAAGGGAAAATGGTGGAAAAGGTAGAGAATATGATAGGCTCTTTTTGGATGGGAATGGGTGGACCTTGGTGTGATTTTGGGGTGATTTGGTGATATAAATAGCCTTTAATATATTGATTATATTAATTGGTTGAGGATGTTATGGAATGTTTGAAATAAATGGCTAATTGAATAAGGAAAAAATGAGGTAAAAACATATATGAAATAGGTTTTGAATTGTTACCCATTTTGGGTACTCCTGACTTGGTTGATGGATGATTCTCCACTGCTCGCGTGTAGGAGACCCGGTATGCCTCGAGGGTATTTTTGTCCTATTTTGTCCAAAAATCCACATGTCGCCTAGTGAATATTTTTGGCTCCACAAATGCCCCCACACCTGTTGGGCTGCTCGTAGGAAAGGGCAGCAGGTGTAGAGATCTTATTGCTTTAGGAAACGTAGGATTGCTTCTTATTTTGATATTGATTCTCTCTTTAATTGGAAATTAGGCCTTTCTAGGAAAGGGAAATAAACTTCACTCAAAGCCTATTTAAGTCCACCTTAAGTGGGTTATTAAATCAACTTTGGAGAGCAATTTATTCTACCCCACAAGAGAGAAAGTTAGAGGATATTTGTTCCCCCTCCTCTAGCAATCTTCTACATCTTGCCCGTGCAAAGGACCGTCTTTCGTTGATTTCTTCATCTTCTCTGTGCCGCACCGATGTAAGAAAAATTTAATTTTTCTTGCCTTCTTCTTGGATTAGTGCTATTGCGGGGCAGCCGTCGAGGTGGTGCAGTACGTCGGCTGGCAGGGGCCAGGAGTTGGCTCGGCATGGGCCGATGAGATGTCATGGCAGGGACCACTGCTTGGGCAGGCTTAGCTTGGCTTGAGCCAAGGGCAGCTTGTGCGGCTGGGGTCGCGGATTGTGGCGCTGGGGCGCAGTGCTAGGCGAGCCGCATGGCTCATGTCCTTTGGGCTCTTGGACTTGACTCGGGCCAGGCTGGTGATTGAGAGAAATGAGGAGATTGTGGGCCTCATGGGTTGCTGGAATGTTGGGTATGCAGGCCTTCTGCCTGCTGGAATGCTGGTTGAGCTCCCCTGTTGAGTACCATAAATGTCGTTGGCTACTTAGTCCTCTTCGCTGAGAGAAATGTGGGCTGCTCCCGAAAGAGGAGGTGAGTAGAATCAAGGCAGATGCATTGGCTCGTCCAATCACTGTTGTGGATCTTGCTACAAGTGAAGGTAGGAAAAGGGATCTTCCCTGCCTGCTCAAGAGCTGCCGGCTGAGAAAAAACCAAAGGCTTCTTTCGCTCGCACGGGTTCGCCGACTGCCTTCAGGCTTGTGATTGACTTGACTTTTTCCAAGGGGACGAAAAATGAGGCTGATAGATCTGAGCATGTGGCGCCTTTGGAGAGGTTTGCTATTATGAAGAGCGATAAGGTTGACTCTGCTGCTAAAGTGGCGTCAAGGCCCATTCCTTATGTTGTTGAGACTAATTCGCCTGCTGGGAATGAGGAGACTGCTCACGTAGGCAGCTGTGAGAAATCCATTAAGCCTGCTTATGGGGAGGCCGCTGAGATCTATGTGCTTTTGAAACCAGATCTCTTAAAAACATGGATGCTTGTGCGAAGTTTGTTGATGGCGTTAGAAAGGTGTTTGCCCAAGCTCGTTTGCGAAGCATACGACCCAATTATATAATGACTTCTCTACTTGCTATGATGCAGATATAGCAAGGCTACTAAGGAGACGGCTATGGCAAATTCTGAGCTCGTTGCTTTGAAGGGGTCTCATATGTCTGCCCCCACTCCTTTGCAGCTTGGAACCGTTCGCCAAAAGATCGTTGACTTGAAGACTAGGCTTGACGCGATCCAAGTTAAGCATGAAAGTGCATAGAAGGAGATTGGATGTTACATACCTCAGATTCAAGATCTTGAGTTTGCAGTTTCTGAGTTTCGTTTCGCTGCTTATGCTAAGAAGGTAGTGGATGAGCTGCAGTGCGTCCGTGTTAGTCTGCTTAAGAAGAATGAGCAGCTGAAGGGTGAGAATGATGGGCTTGAGGTTTTAAGACCTTCTCTATTTCTCCGGAAGACTTGCT